CTGTATATAAGTATATATATATTTTAAATCCATCAGTTTAAAAATAGACTCTTGGATATAAGACATAAAAAGCCAACCATATGCTATTCACAATAGGCATGCTTAAAATCTAATGATCTAGAAAGACTAAAAACAACGGAATGGCAAAATAATTACCAGGTAAATATTAATTTTTAAAATTGATAGCACAGAATTTTATAGCCACAACAGAGGCCAGAACACAGTGTAATTATGCTGCTATTAGACAAAAAAGACTTAAAAAGTATTTAGGGATAAAGAAAGTCACTGCAAAATGAAAACATGAACAATTCACTAGGAATATTCGACAGTTCTGATTTTCTGTGCAACAACTAACAGCATAATTGACAGAAAGAGATGGAAAAAATGAACAAATTCACTGTCAGTATGGGGTAGACAAAAATAGAATATGAAAGGTTTGAACATGGCGATTTTCATGACTCAGCATATACCAAAAAGTCAAGATTTTCTGACCACAATGTACTACAATTTGAAATTAGTTAACAAAAAGATAACCCCTTACAAAAAACCTTAAAAAATACTTCTAAATGATTCACATGTCAAAAAAGAAATCATAAATGAAATGAGTACATACTTAGCACTGAAAGAGTATGACTACAATACATAATAAAATCTGAGGGATGTAGCTAAAGCAGAACTTGAGTCATTTGTGGGTTTAACTGCACACATTCAAAAAGAAAAAACTGGCCAGGCATGGTGACTCATGCCTGTAGTCCCAGCTACTTGGGAAGCTGAGGTGGGAGGATAGCTTGAGGCTGGTAGGCGGAGGTTGCAGTGAGCTATGATCATGCCACTGCACTCCAGCCTGGGTGACGGACCCAGACCCTGTCTGGAAAAAAAAAAAAAAAAATTAGCCAGGTGTGGTGGCAGGTACCTATAGTCGCAGCTATTTGGGAGGCTGAGGTGGGAGGATTACTTGAGCCCAGGAGTTCAAGGCTGCAGTGAGCTGTGATAGACCACTGCTCTCCAGTTGGGGCAACAGAATGAAACTCTGTCTCTTTAAAAAAAAATTTTTTTAACATGTATGCTTAACTTAAGCTTAAAGTTTATCAGTATCTCTACCTTTCTCCTAAAATATACAAATAACCTTAGAACATTTTAACACCAGTCGCTTGCCTCTTGTCTGACATGTTTTTGTCATCTGATAGTTTTGTGCCTCCTTGTTTTTATGTCCCTCAAATTCATCATCATTACTATTAGCAGTAGGAGTGGTGTTTTCTACAGTCAGTGGTTGCTCCGGTTTACCCACATTTGCTATTTCTTTGGAGATCATTAGTTCTTGCTTTCTGCATCTTTCTTCTGGTTTTGATTTGCTCCTTCTGGAAGTAAAATGTTCCCATAGTAATATTTTCTGGAAGGGCCTATGAATGGTAAACTCAGTCTTTGCCTAAAAATGTCTTTTTTCTGCCTCACTTTTGAATTACAGTTTAGGTAGTTATAAAATTCTAGCTTATCAATTATCTTCCTTGTATATTTTGAAGATATTTTTCTGTTGTCTCCTGGCCTCTGACTATTGAACACTGTGCTGACAACTTATTTTTTGCTTTTTTATAGGTAGTCTGTCCTTTATCTCTGGTGGCATTTAGGATCTTCACTTTGTTTTGTGGTCTGCAGTTTCCCTATTATGTCTAGTGTAGATTTATTTTCATTTCTTATCCTTGGACTCAGTGCAGGCTTTTATTCTGCAGATTCTTTCCTTACAATTCTAGTAGAGTCTATGTTATTATCTCTTTGAATACTACCACCTCACTATTCTCCCTATTACTGTTTCTGGAATTTCTATTAAATACATATTAGACTATCTCATTCCTTGCACCTCATAACCTCCTTTTAACATTTTCCATCTCTTCATCATATTGCTGCATTTAGCATAATTTCCTCAGATGGGACCTCTAATTTACTAATTCTCCCTTCAACTTCTTTTTCAGCTTACAAACTTTTAATTTAATAGCTAGTTCTCATTTCTAGACATTCTAATTTGTTTCTGTTCAAAATATTACCTTTTTTTTTTTTTTGAGACAGAGTCTCATTGATGCCCAGGTTGGAGTTCAGGGGCATGATCTCAGCTCACTGCAACCCCTGTCTCCCAGGTTCAAGTGATTCTCCTGCCTCAGCCTCCCCAGTAACTGAGACTACAGGTGCACACTACTATGACTGGCTAATTTTTATATTTTTAATAGAGACAGGGTTTGCCATGTTTGCCAGGCTGGTCTTGAACTCCTGACCCCATGTGATTCACCCACCTCAGCCTCCCAAAGTGCTGGGATTACAGGAGTGAGCCCCACCTGCCCCACTTTTGGGGTTTTTTTTTTTGGTTACAATAGTAGCTAAAACTTACTCTGTGCCAAGCATATGTGTACTTTTCTAAGCACTTTACATATATTAACACACTTAATCCTTACAACAACCCATTGATACAGATACCATTAGTATACCTACTTTACAGATGAGGGACTTGAGGCACAGAAATATTAAGTGACTCACCCAAGGTCACCCAGGTGGTAGGTAATAGTGATAAGATTTGAACCCAGCACTTTAGCTTCAGTTTCTGTGCTCTTAACTACCATGCAACAGTGCCTCTCATGAGGTTTGTTCTTTTCTTGGTGTTTTAATTACATCTTAGGGCTTTAATAATTTTAAACATGTTTATTTTACATTCCCTTTCCAATTGTCATTCTATGATATGAAGTTTTAGGGTATCTTTTAGTGTTATTTATTGTGTCTGCTGACTTTTAAGTCAGCAGGATTTTGTCCTCTTGCATTTCATTATTTGTGTTTGTGAGCTTATCTTTAAAGAAGCCTGTTTTTCTGTAACAATCCCCTGTGACCTGGTTGTAGATGTGTCCCTCAAGAGCAGTTCTGCATTTGCCACAGAAAGATCACCAGATCTGGACCTCTTTTTTGGCTGTTTATCATTTTGGGAGTCATTTATCATCATGGTTCCTGGACCGTCTGCAAACTTGAACCTCCAAATTTGAGGTAGAAACAGACCCTGAGAATTCATTTCTCAGAGGATATTTTTCCCTATCCAGACAGAGGCATATAAATTCTTTTTTGTCTCTCTGTGCCAGTGAATCGATGGTTTTCTTAATCTACTCTTTTCAGGATGGGTGTAGCCTTTTAAAAACTGCTGCAGTTTTTTAACTAAGCCCAGCTGTGGCAGCATCCCACATCCTTACCACTCATTTCCCTCTTTGTTGCTGACACACCTGGAGACTTCCTTTCTCTCTTGCCAGTTCATTCATGCATTTAAAATAATTTTCACTGTATTTTGTCAAGCATTTTAAGGCAGTATGGCAGGAGAGTTTTCAGACTGTTTTCTCATATCTTCTTTTAAGAAAATTAGGAGTCTCATTCCACCCTTTAAAAAAAGTATGATGTTAATTATTTTCTCTTGGTAAGAGTGATTAAAAAATTGGGGATATCCATAGAAGTGTTAGGAGGAAAATGCAAACTACTCATTGTACCACTACCTAAAAGTGGCCATGATTTATATGTTTTCTCCTTTTTGTATTATATGTGTTCAGATATACATATACATATATGTGTGTGTATATATATGTACTATATAACTTGATTCATGTGTGAATATCTGCTTATGTGTGCGATTTTTCACCTAAAGTGTATTGTATTTTTCTTACATCATTAAAATTCATTGAAGAACAAACAACTGAAGAAAAACTTCTGTCTTAGAAGCATAAGGATAAATGGGGGGCATCTTCCTGCATATATTTGATTAGCTGTTCTGCAAATCTACACTTATGCACCTAGAAATAAAAAAGGGACTAGCTGCACTAAGAGCCCTAGAATCCTAATTAACATTGTGCTGCTGATAGATGCCTTACATTTAAAGCAAGATCATTTGTTTCTCTCCCACAGAAATGATTTTCATTGACTATTCTGAATAACTTTATATTTCCGGTCTCCAATTTGCTGCAACTAAATCTTAACTACTCCCCCATTCTAGCTTTCTTGTTGAAATTTCTCTCTGAGCAAAGCCTGGAATGTCTGAAGTCATTCCCCAACACAGTTGCTAGAGATGGGCTGTGAAATAACAGAATTTAGCAGCAAGTCTCTCCACAGGCCAGTGTATAAAAAGGATCTGAAACCTAGGCTGGGAATGACAAGTATGCTAGAGGGAATGGCACTCCCCTGCCCGCCTTCCAAAAGCAGTTTGGCTTCAGGAGAGTGGGTGTGTGTTTCACTTGGTCTTGCAAATGTAGGTCTAACTTTGTCACCGCCTTTCCGTCTGCCCTCCAGCATCTGTGCCCAGTTGACGTAATGACTGTGGAAGGCAGATTGAACACTATTGAGAAGACAGTCTGGAAATTGTGAGAGGCAGGCAGGGTCAAGGATGGAAAGCATTCTTGGGAGACTGGGGTTCTCAGCTCACAGTAATTGAGAAATCGATTCAAACCCATGGCATACAATGAAATTATATGCGTGTGTGTGCATTTTCTAGAAGTTACCCCGTGGCCCTTCCAAGTTAAGTTAGCACTATACAATGTCTTGGCCAAATGAATTTGAGCTCCAAGTTAGGTACTTGAGACTCAAATTAGTTCCAAGCTAGTTTCTTAAAATTTATAGTAGAAATAATAGCCTAAAAATGTAATTTATTAAAAATTAAATTTAGGGCCAGGCACGATGGTTCCTGCCTATAAACCTAGCACTTGGGGAGGCTGAGGTAGGAGGATTGCTTTAGCTCAGGAATTTGAGACCAGCCTGGGCAACATAGTGAGACCTCATCTCCACTAAAATAAAAAACCAGCCAGGCATGGTGGCACACACCTGTAGTCCCAGCTACTCAGGAGGCTGAGGCGAGAGGGCCACTTGAGCCCAGGAGTTCAAGACTGCAGTGAGCCATGATCATGCCACTGCACTCCAGCCTGTGTGACAGAGCAAGACCCCCCTCCAGAAAAAAATTAAAATCTTTAAAAAATAACAGTTTTGATTTACAACTACCAGAATTTATGACAAAAAGAATTTTAAGTTTCAAAAGTTTAATGTGTACACTAAAAAATGAAAGCACAAAGCTTACGTTGCCAATAAGATATTAGAAACAGATTAGAAGTATAACTACACAACTCTAGTTCCTGCAGATTAAAGTTTGCCAAGACTTTATTTGTATTTTTATTTTTTAAAAATTTAAAAACTGAGATGTTGATTCATTTCTAACAGGGACACACAAATGTCTGATGGTGGCCCAGAAGGGCTGTCACTCAGAGTCAGGTGGGTGCAGAGTGGCGTGCAGGAGATGATGACCTAGCATGAGACAGGATGCATCACATCTGGGTGACACCTCTCTCCAGGGAATCAGCCTGGACTAAATGCCTCTCCTGGGTCAGGATGCCCCGCATGCCCCGAGATGCCTTTTGGAGAGAAGGAAGTATGTGAGAGTATTCTGAGTTAAGTGAGACCTAAAAGGCCTGAGAAAACCCTGAAATGACTGAGTCTATCTGGAGCTTATTTGATTGTTTTTCTGCCATCAGATAGAATGACATCTCAAAAGACAAATTAAATTATATTACAAGAAAATAAAACTCAATCGCTTGCCTATTTGAGTTTGTGGCCTGTGAAAATCTTGCCCACCAAACTACGAGAAGCAACATGAGGGGCTTTATGATAACTCTGCAGGTAGGTGGGCATCTCATGGAATCCAAGGGGAAAGGCATGGGCTAGGCTGAGAAAGGACTAGAACCAGGAGCTGAAAGTCATTGGGATCTTTTCTCAGCTGCCATGGCTGCATATCTGTTTCTGTCTTCCCTCTCTGAGGCCCATCTTTCTCCTCATCTCCCATTCATCTGAGAGAATATAGTGGCATCAATGCCTAAGTTACGTGACACAGTTTTAGCCACATGCAGATTCTACCTTTCTGTATCTTGGTCTCATTCCCAAATTCTTGGACAAGAATCTGACTGGCCCACTTAAGTCCCATGTCTGTCTTCCTCCATTCAATCAATGGTGGCCTGAGGGGCATTAGCCCATGGTACAGATATGACTGCTGTGGGTTTATCACCTTGGGTCAGGGGATAGTTCCCAGGTAATTGGAAATGGCTGTGAGCTGGGAGGACACCCCAAAAGATGATGACTTCTCAGTCACTACGGGACCTATCCCTCACTTTTCTCATCTAGAAAATAGAAGGAATAATATCTATAATATTCTTAATTTTAAGTGAAGGCAAAGGGAATTAACATGTATTGACTTCTCTCCATGTAGGAAGTCAACCAGCTTAGCACATCCTGAAAACAACCCTAAGAGGTGGGCATTTTAATTTCCTCCTTTATAGATAAGAAAATTGATGCATGTGGAGGTTAAATACCATAGCTAGTACATGAAAGCTCAGATCTAAACCCAGACAGAACCTGTGCTGCAGCCCTGGAAGCAGCTGTTAAGATTGAGATAATGTCTCAAAGCCGTGCATTACATTCTCAGCTATTAAGAAACTGCCGAGGACAGTATCTTACATGTAATAAATGCTCAGAATTGGAAGTCTCCTTAATAAGAGCACTCTCCCTTCAATTGCAGCGGAAGTCTTATCACAGAATGTTTTGCTCACATTAATCCACCAAACACCTCTGGGAAGTGGGCACCCATCTCCTTTGGAGAGGTTTCTGCCAAGACACATTTTATTACAATGAAAAGGGAGATGAAAACAGCCGCTTATACCTCTTTTAACTGTAACTGACCTTCAGCCACCATTTTGCTGCAATGGATTTGAGAGCTTCCACCTGCTTCATGTTGAGGTGTGAATTTGTCACCTTAGGAACCTGTTGTCACAGTCTTTAGGATGTATTTATGTGCTCTGATCTTCTGGCCTCCTGATGCTAAATATAACTCTTTTTTATCGGTACCGAGCTGATGTACAAAACTCAGGCTCTTTTTGTGAATGTTTGCTGAATGAGAGATTTGTTAACACCTACTGTATTCTCAGCTCTGAGAATATTAAACCCCTAAGATACAATGCAAGCCTCTGAGAGCAAACAGTCTTCTCTGTGCTATCAAAAAGCTAAGAACTTGGTCATTAGGGAATTGGAAATCAAAGCCACGATGAGATACCTCTTCATACTCAGTAGGATGACTATAATACAAATAATTAAAAAAACAAACAAAAAAACAGAAAATAATGTGTTGGCAGGTGTTAAAAGAAAAATCTTTAGACAAATTAAATTTAACAGAGTTTAACTGAGTAAACAACAATTTGAGAATGGGGCAGCCTCTAGAATCAGGGCTGCTACGTGGTTGGCTAACATTTACGGACAGAAAAGGGAAAGTAATGTACAAAAAGGCAGAAGTGAGGTACAGAAACAGCTGGATTGGTTAGCTCAGGGTTTGCTGTATTTAAATACAGTTTAAATAGTTGGCTGCCTGTGATTGGTCAAACTAAGACCTGTAAAGGAAAGCAACATGCCTGTGATTGGCCAGAACTCTGCGATTGGTGCAAGTGTAGGTTACAACAGTCTGTTTACATATCCAATTAGGTTCCAGTTAAACCTTTAGGCTGAACTGAAACATGTAAGGAGGTAGCTTCATGCTAAACTTAATTTAACACAGTGATGTGGAGAAATTGGAAAAAAACACAACTAAGAACTAATTTTAAAGTCACCAGTCAGGTCTAGTTTGGGTGAAATTAATGCATGTTCACTTGAGAGCATTAGTTGAAACTTCCTGTAATTCAATTGGCTTGATTGGTGGCCAACTTGCTTTGGTTAAAGATACAAATAAGGGACTTCAAACACCGTAAGTAGGTTTCTGGTCTGCTTCTCTGAGCATTAGTACCACAGGTAGAATGATCATGTAATTGATCATCCAAACTGTGACAATTATTTCCAAGACAAATGCTAAAACAAAAAGGACACTGGGACAATAGGCCAACCCATGGCTGCCTTTGCTGGAGAAACACCAGTAACATATTGACAACCAGAGAACTGACTTTTTCTTTACCAAATCAATCATGGTAGATTTTACCATTAATCTGTTTAACCTGTGGGAAAAATGTAACAATGGCCCAATGACTGAACCAAAGGATACATACTGTGATTTACTAGGAAGCAGCAGTGGCAGGGTTCCACATGAAAAAATAGGTATCTTTTTCTCTTTTTCAGGTCTGCCTCTTCTTTGACCCATGCATGCTACCGTTTTCTTCCATGGGAGGTTGGTCAGAAAGTGGCAGCTCAGGGTAGATGTCAGGAAGACAGTAGTCAGAAACAGACCCAGAGAGGGATTTGGGCCACTGTGATAAGAGAGGAGTGGTTAAAGGTATGAAGAATTTACAGTTTATTGGCTGGGCACGGTGACTCATGCCCGTAATTCCAGCACTTTGGGTGGCTGAGGCGGGGGGATCACTTGAGATCAGGAGTTCGAGACCAGCCTGTCCAACATGGTGCAACTCCTTCTCTACTAAATATACAAAAATTAGCTGGGTGTGGTGGTGGGAGCCTGTAATCCCAGCTATTTGGGGGGCTGAGGCAGGTGAATCGCTTGAACCCAGAAGCCGGAGGTTGCAGTGAGCAGAGATTGCACCACTGCACTCCAGCCTGGGCGACAGAGTGAGACCCTGTCCAAAAAAAAAAAAACCTACAGTTTATTGATTTCCTTTTCTTTACAAGGAAAAACAGTTGGCTGCCTTCATGTGTGACTTTTAATCTTGTATCTCTGCCCAGAGGCACATTTTGGAGATGATGCTGTTTAAATTTCCAAATCAATAAATAATCAGGGTCAAAGATCCAAAACTAGCAAATTGCTATTTCCAGGAAAAGATGCTGGCCTTGTCAATGTGATTCTGTCCTGCACATACCAGGGAGTTCACACTTTTCCTGCCCAGTCCTAGAGTTGCTTGGAGCTATTCATTCTACAGACGTTCCATCCAACTATCTTGGTATGATTGCCACAAAGAACGTTTGAAGAGGGCTGAACTAGGTGGGCCTTAGAGACCTATAAAGGAAAGTAACATGCCTAGATTTTTATGTGTATATAAAGCACTGTAAGCGCTATGACTAAAGAAATGAGAATGTCAGTGTGAAACTTTTTGTGATTCTGCCTGGGCGTCCATCAGATGGCCTTTCTTCTAAGAGGTAGAATCAGAACACATTGGCTTAGACGCTGCTGTAGAAAACTGGCCCATCTGGCTATTCTAATTGTTTCGGAAAAGAAATACCACTGTATCTATATATGGATCTCTTGGTGTCCTCACTGCCAAATATACATAGATCATACAAGACCCTAAAACTGTTATCTGTTATGCTTTTGGCTACACTTTCCACTGGGCTTTTTTCCCCCACTTTCTTAAATAAGGTTATTATGACTCACATTCAGCTTCCTATATTCTATGAATTCACCCCCTTCCAAGAAGTTGTTTTTTTAAAAATCATGGTTGTCTAAAAGCTTTATAGTTGTAAATTTCTCCTTTCCTTATGGTAGTACCTTGCTGTCTGTATAGAAAAACAACCACAATGTAACTGTTGAAATAGATACCTTTTGCAATGTCTTCCCAGCTCAGTACCCCCTTCCACTGAGAATATCTCCATCTCCATGAGACCTAACATTTGTGATGGTTCACTCTGCTCTCCTGTCCGTGAAGGGACTCCTGAGTTTGAGGTGCGCCAATCAAATTGGAGCTGGGGTTCAGTAATAGACAACCTGTTAATTGGAATGAGGGTAATGGAAACTGATGAGCAGAAGCTGCCATCGTAGAAAAGCGTTCTCATCCACATGCTAGGAGAAGCAGGAAAGTGGATATTTTAAGAGAAGAACAGAACAGATGTGCAAAGTAAAGGATGGAAAATGATCTGGCTAGAGACAAAGAAGAGGAGGGGTGGGAGAGAGAGAGGAAGGGACTGGAAATAGTAGTTCCTGGTAGTTTTCTAGTTCCTGGTTCTCAGCTGTCATGAAACCCACTCCTGTCCTTGGGTTCTGTGAGATATTCTAGACTTTTATACAAAGGTCTCCTGACTTTTTCCCCTCTAAGCTAGCTTGAATGAGTTCCTGTTATTGACAACCAGAAGACCATTGACTAAGACAACTAGAACCTACTTCATCTTCTCATCTCTTTTGAGGCCCAGAACAGAAGAATGAACCTGGATTCTTCCTGAATTAGTGAAATACAATTATAGACATTTAGATCCGATACAATTTAATCCAACATATTTATTTTATGGATGAAACAGTAGTGTCCAAGGAAGTTACATGGCTTACCCAAGGTCAAGGTCACACAGTTAGGGGATAATAGAATTGGAACTAAACCTTAGGTCATTTGAATGTCAGTCTGGCTTTCTTTCCACTAAACAAATCTGCCTTTTAATGAAAACATTCAGCGTCACACTTGGTGCAGAGAACAAGTGCTCCCTCTTCTGAATGATGTGGTAGATCCTGCAATCAAGGGATTCCCGTCCTCAAACACAGTGGTGGGCCAGAGATCCAGGCTGAGCTTTTAGAGTATCACAGACTTCTAGCATCAGTGATTGGCTCAGAGGTGGGCTTCAGCTCCAAGTAGAACTACTTAAGGACTTTTTAGGGAGAATAATCAGGCACTTAGAAGGAGAGAATGTGGATCTCTCGTTTTTGAGCTCTGAGAAATTAAGGATCACATGAGCTTAGAGCTGCTAGGGGTTGTCTTTTCAGCATGAGATGACAGACTGCTGAAGAACAGAGCCAGCACAGAGGAAAACAGAACCGAGAGATGGAGAGAGATGGATACCCGATAACTTTACCTGGGCACCTAGATTTAGCCATGCCTGAAGTTATCTAGTTCCTGAACTTATCAGTTACCTGACCCAGTGCATTTTCTTTTCTACTTAAGCTAGTTTGACTTGACTTTCTAGTATATGCAGCCAAGTAAGGTATAATACCAAAACATTGATGGCTAATCCTAGTTTAACTTTACATGCTTTTGCTTCTTATTTTTATATGCTACAGAGAGGCTATATCTATGGGTCATTGTAAACAGATGTCAGCTATTTTGGTTAAAATGTATTTAATATGACTTGTTAAGACTAAACTAGGAGAAGTAGTGACAAATACAACTGTGTGTGTGCTTTTGTTTTCCAAGGAAGAAGAATAATTTTGTCCTAAAGCAGTAGATGGGCTTATTTCGTTTGTTTCTGACCTCTTTTACACTTTTAGGACTTATGGAGGACCCCAAAGAACTTTCGTTATGTGGGTTCTGACTATCAATATTTACTGTATTAAAAATAGAAACTGAAAATCTTTAAAATATTTAGTGATTCATTTGAAGATAGCAATGATGAATGCATGTGAACACAAATAATATCTTAGTATTATTATAAAATTAGTTTTGACCCTGCAGGCCCCCTGAGATCTGCTCTAAAGAAAAATGTCAGTTTGTGTGGGATAAAAAAGAGTGAAATGTAGGACAAACTTGGAAAGTGAGTTTTATTTGCCTTCGTTTATAATACTTGAGTCTGAAAAGGAGCTCCATAATCTGTTGAAATCTTAGCAAAGTTTGCCTAATTTTGGTAAGCCTTTTTCGTTGTTTTACTGATTAATGCTTTCACCGACAATGTAAAAGGTTATTCATTACTTGCTGTGTAATCTGCCTGGATAGCAAAGATTCTAGGTCTTACCAGAATAATTTCCTGTGCTTTCTGTTGACCTTACTAGATCCTCGACTATTTAAAAAGAAAAAGTACAAAAGGTTTTCACTTATGAAAGAGCAAAGGTTCTTTTTAATCATGTTGCCTTCTATGTTTATTTCAAAATGCTTTTTTTGTGACTCAAATAAGTAATAAAGTATTGTTTCTAAGGCACCCAAGATCCTATCTTAATCGAGCATTCAAATATGTTCTGATAAGTTTTTTTTTTTTTTTTAATTTTTGTTCTCGCAAAAAAATCAGATATTAAATTTAGGAAAAAATTTAAAAAGATCAGATTTTTTTTTTTTTTTTGCCATTCTTTCATCACAATTTTTTAACCTTTTTTATGGTAGTAAAATACATGGAACATAAAATTTAACATTTTCCCTATTTTTTAATATATAGAAAATTAGAATATCTATTACACCTAAAATATCTTTGAGATTTTCCAGTGGGTCCCTTGAAAATCACAAACTTGTTTCTTTCATCACATAAAAAGATAAGGGTTAGGTTTCTTTGATGTGTTACTATTGTAGGATTTGTATGAGAAGAGTTATCAAACCAGAGAAGGTACTTAGTCTTTCCTAGGTTAAATTTGTGTAGATAAAATATTGTTAATGTAACTATTTCAGAAATGGCATACAGATGGTCCCTAACTTATAATGGTTTGACTTATGATTTTTCAACTGGGTTTATTGGGGTAGTAAGTGCATTTTTGACTTCTGACATTTTTGATTTACGATGAGTTTATTGGGATTTAACCTCATTGGAAACCAAGGAGCATCTGAACTTTAGAGGAAATCCCTGGAGATATATCAGTGCCCTGACTGCTCATGATTTATTTTTACCCTCAAGGAAAACACTGATCAAACTCTTATGAAATTGGTTTGTTGTGTTTTCTTGTATTTATCAGAGTCCTGACAATGCTTTGCCCAATGATATTAGACAACAGTGTAGTGTTCTCAATCCTAATTTCAGTTATTATTTAAAATGTTTCCTTAGCCTGGCCACAGTCTTAGATTTTTAATTTGAATTTACTATCTCCTAAGCTAGTTGTTTTCAACTATGGAGTTTTATAAAAAATAAAATGCCTAGGCCCTACTGCTGAATCTCTTTACTTCATATATTTGGTATATTATGTCTCATAATTATGTTATATCTCAATGTATTTTTCTCCATAAAAATTGTGTTCCTCCATTTTTATAAATCAGATTTTTTTGAATGCAAACTTAATTATTATCCTTAGAGACAACTTGCCTATGTTTTTATTTTTATTTTTTGGAACGACTATTATCTTTGGCATGCCACAGAAGCAACCACATTTCTTTACTGGTTGCATTATAATTATGCACCCCTCATCTGACCGGTCACATTTGAGGGCTACCAGTTATAAATTACAAACAGCCACTCTAGGTCTCTGTCATCTGCAGATTTTTTTTTTTTTTTTTCACTCTGAGGCTTATGTGAAGGCCTTGCTATGAGCTACAGGCCAGATTTTGTGTCTTCAGCCAAGGACAGTCTCAGGCTTGTACTAAGGCCCTGCAGGCTTGTGTGAAGACCCTGCTATAAGCTACAGGCCAGATTTTGTGTCTTCAACCAAGAAAGAGAGTCTCAGAGCTTCATGGAGAAGGACTATATTGGATACTTCAAACTGTTGATACTTTAAAACATAGACTCTTGGGTATAGCTTTCTGAGCTGATATCTCTTAGATAACTCTCAGCTCAGATGAGTAAACTCAGTCAAGATCTCTAGGGCTCCTTTTAGTCTGGAGAACTGCTAACCCAAGATCCTCAGAACAAGAGTTACTTACATAAGACTAAATGAACTGAGAAGGGAAATTTTATTGTGTTTTTTAAAATAATGTTGTTGATTTTGTTTCAATGTTCTATAGTCTGGTTGTAGACATAAACCGATTTTTTCTAAGCTATCTATAACCTATAAAATTTAGTAGACTAGTTTTGTAAATTGTATTAGTTCATTTTCACACTGCTGGTAAAGACTTATCAGAGACTGGGCAATTTGCAAAAGAGAGGCTTAATGGACTCACAGTTCTACATGGCTGGGGAAGCCTCACAATCACGGTGGAAGGTGAAAGGCACGTCTCACATGGCAGCAGGCTAGAAAACTTGTGCAGGGAAACTCCTCTTTATAAAACTATCAGATCTCGTGAGAGTTATTCACTATCATGAGAATAGCATGGGAAAGACTCGCCCCCATGTTTCAATTATCTTCCACTAGGTCCCTCCCACAACATGTGGGAATTAATGGGAGCTACAATTTAAGATGAGTTTTGGGTGGGGACACAGCCAAACCATATCATAAACTGAAATGAAACATCTAAAAATTGTATTTGATTCTCACTGATCCTATAGAATCCAGAAACTTACTGAATCTCTTTGCTTTTCATGGCAGTATAGTTATATGTAAAAGCTCAACAGGAATATCTTCTCCTTCTTACTAGGATATAATTGGATGAATCAGTTGTACAACCAGGGCCTTACCTGGAGTGTCCTTTTTGAGAATGATGCTTATTTTATCAGATGTGACCAGCCACTTTTCAGAAGCTAAAGTTGACTTTACTTATGGAGCCAATGCATACAAAGCCCTCCTAGGAAAACTGGCTGGTGTCTGGCTTATAGGATCCTAGCCTTACAGGAGGTGAGGAATATTATTCCTGTCAGGCCAGATAACTCAAGAAATTTGGAGGAATTTAAAAAAGAAAGAAATTAACCCAAACATATAGATACTATGGGTGACATTTTTTGGTAAAAGGTTCTAAAAGATCATTTGGGATTCCTTATTCAAACTTCTAGACAGAAGTTAACTTTGTAAGTGATTAACACTACATGGACCTGGATTTTGCAAGCCAAACTTAAGAATAATCTTCCTTTGGAATTGTTATGATCACGAAAGGAAAGGGGACACCAGGGAAAAATTGTAAAAGACTTTGAAATAGACCAAAAGGTGGACTGGTGTCTTCAGTGGAAAACTGTGCCTTGTTTTAGAGCACCCCCCTTCCCAGTTTTCTGATTCTATAAATGATGTGCCTTTCATTATCTTTGAGCTCCTATATAGAACACTTACAGGAATGTAAAAAGTTCTTGTCTATAGAAATAAAAATTGTGTTCCGTGAATAGCAATTGATTATTGTCCTATAGATATTAACCAGTTTTACATCTATTTGTACATTCATTTCAGCATTCCTGATTCAATGATAAAAGTGTAGTACATTGAATGCTCCTATATAGCATCTTATTAGTTCCCTTATGAGTTAATTAAGAAGTTAAATAAAATCTTTGATGTTTCAGCCTCTATTTTTATGTGTCATGATTTTACCTTTTTTTAAAAAGTATCCTTTAAAGTTATTTGCCTATTGTATATTTTCCTATTTCTTTGCTTTCATACTTTCTCTATTAGAAATTGTGTGTCTTGTAAACAGCATATAGATGAGTTTTGCTTTATTTTTATGTATTTATTTATTTATTTATTTTGAGACAAAGTCTTGCTCTGTCACCCAGGCTGGAGTGCAGTGGCATGATCACAGCTCACTGCAGCCTCAACCTCCTGGGCTCAAACGATCCGCCCACCTTAGCCTCCTAAGTAGCTGGGACTACAGACACAGGCTACCATGCCCAGCTAATGTTTTATTTTTTGTAGAGACAAGGCCTCACTATGTTGCCCAGCCTGGTCTCAAACACCTGAGCTCAAGCAATCCTCCTGCTTTGGCCTCCCAAAGTGCTGGGTTTATAGGTGTGAGTCACTGTGCCCGGCTGTTTGGTTTATTCTGTCTGGCACTCTGTGTTTTCATCTGTGGGTGAAGTCACACCTTGATTCCCATATTCACATTGATTATGATTACACTTAATTGGAATTAGTTATTCCACCTTGGCTTCTTTTTATTCCTTTCTCACTATCTACTGGATTGATGGAGATTTTTTTTTTATTTTCCATTTTTCTTTCTACTCGTTTGGAATTTTTCATTCTTTTTCTAATACTTAGTGGTTACCTTTGTGGCAGAGACTGTTAGATGCCCTGTGTCTTAGTCCATTTTTGTTGCTATAAAAGAATACCTGAGGCTGTGTAGTTTATAAAGAGAAGGGGTTTATTTGGCTCATTGTTCTGCAGGCTGTACAAGAAGCATGGCACCAGCATCTGCACCTGGTGCAGGCCTCAGGCTGCTTCCACTCAAGAAGAGAGAAGGGGAGCCTGTGTGGAGAGATCACAAGGCAAGAGAGGAAGGAAGGTAGGGGAGGGGGCAGGCTCTTTTTAACAACCAGCTCTCGGGAGTGAACAGAGTGAGAATTCACTCATTACTGCAAGGATGGCACCAAGCCATTCATGTGTGATCCACCCCCATGAGCCAAACACCTCCCACTAGGCCCTGCCTCCACCACCAGGGATGAAGTTTCAACATGAGGCTTGGAAGGTCAAATATTCAAACTCTAGCACCCTGCAATAGTCATTCTCCTTTTCTTCCTTAGCAATAAAATTCTGGAAAATATACCTTGCTGAAAAACTACTGATACAAAGGAAACAGTAATATGTAACAGGAAGTTGCTGGTTGGGACTAAAAGAGTAATTACAGTTGGCCTGTGTTCCTCTGTCCTTCCCCCTTTTATCCTGCTTGCAACGTGGGTGTAGATGGAACTCCGGAAACCATCATGGACCATGAAGCAACTCTGAGGATGGAAGCCACACACTAAGGACGGTAAAGCAGAAAGAAGAGCTAAAACCCTGATTATTAAGAAGCGGCCAATTCCATCCTGCACTGCCCACCTCCAGATCTCATTCATGTGAGAAACAAACAGAAACTTCTATCTTGTTCAAGTCACTTTAGTCAAGATTTTTATTATCAGATGAATGCAATTTCTAATTGATACACCTTAAAATTTTCAACATGTACACCTGATTTAACAAAATCTAGAATTAAGTCAATACCTCTACATGCATTATAGACCAAAGGTCATGCCATAAGAACTTTGGGTATATAGTCAAATTCCTCACATTTTAAAAATCTTGTTTAATCACTGCATTCCTTCCCCATCTCACTCTGTCACACACTCACATATTTATTTTCTCAGATCCTTACAAGTTCATGAGGCATATGTCCTTATTCCATTTTTACAGATGAGAAAACTGGGGTTTGCAGGGATTAAGTAACTTATCCAAGATCACACAATTAATTAGTGGCAAAGTTATAATTTGAAGTCTTTCTAATGCCCAAATGTTTCCATTGTGTCACATATCTGAGCTGTGCTCTTTCCATTAGCCACTTTCCCATTATCATAACTGATGACATGCACAGCCACCATCTGGGGCAGGCTTTAGTACAGCACTCTGTGCCGTCATCCAGATCACCGAATCATAGTAAATGGGTGTGTCATAAGAGATAAGGCTGCCATAGAATCACAGCAGCTTCCGGCTTAGTAAATTACCTGGATACACACCTTTTCCTAGAGGAAATCCCACATCTTCATAGGAGATCTGGTGTAATGCTCTTGGGACCTCTCTCTAGAGGAGAAGCTAATATCACTGGGTACTAGGTAAGCCTCAACAAACATAATAGAGACAGAACTGTCATCATTATCAGAAAAGTAACAGAGAAAAATGTTAAAACAATGGTTTTGTGACCTTAAAGTCTGTGTTAGTCCCTTAGCACCACCGCTGAGATTTTGCCGAAAGGGACATTTTGTGTGTTGGGCTTACTGAAGCAAGCCCTTGAAAGTGTTCAGAAATAGGGAAAATGAGAAACTGTTCCAGCTGAAAATACGGGCAAGGGGGAATCATTGAAGAAGACAGAATATTGAAGTGTTCAAATGAATAAAGAAGCTAAAAACCAAATCGTAAGTATTTCTGTTTCTTTGACATATATAAAAGGAAAATGTTTACCAGGTGAATGTGATCAGCTAGGCATGTTTTGAAGGCAAATGTAACCAAATCATGTAACCCCTAACTTGCTCAAATTCTACATCCCAACCTTTCAGAGGAATGTCCAAAAAGGAAATAATTTTGTAAAAACTAAGGTTGGAAGATTCAGAAAGAAAATTCAGAATGAATTTTCCTAGCCTCAGAGTAGCAGGCTGAAGGAAATCCTTTTCCAGAGCTTTACTGGGCATTTGGGATAAATCACAATGACTCATTTATATAGATCTTCAACTTTTGCTGATCTTCCAACTTGATTTTCTTTCAGACTCTAGTTGCAGTGACACATAACCTTTGGCACAGGCTTAACTCATATCTGTCCTCTACTTATCCTCCCCGCCCCACTGCCGGGCTCATTGTTTTGGAGCACAGTGCAGGGAGAAGACAGTTCTCATCCTTCCTGTGTTGCTCTCCTGGGAGTTACTTCTCCAGATCCTATGGTCTTTTCACCTCTCCCATCAAACACCTCTCTCCTGACCACCGTCTCAGGGAACCTGGGGTCTACAGTCCCTCTTGATACAATGAGACAACCTTGGGCTCAGGTGAAGGGTGAATGTGGAACCACCTACGCTTCCCTCTCTACCTACCTCCTCCTACTGTATAACTCCTATGTGGATAGAGCAGATTTATCAAAAAAGTAGGGCTAATTAAACAGACTTACAACATAGGAGTGAGTGAATCAAAGGTCAAATTATGTTAACATCAAACTTACACTAGAATAAAAGCCATGGAGAACTTGAGAACAGAGATGGGCAGAAGAGTCAGCATTAGCAGGACAGTCTAGGGTGGCCTGTAGATTACATACTGAGCTCCTGATGTCCTAGCCAGTGGGGTTTGAATATGTCTCCTCTTCTTGCCAACACACATCTCCCAAAGGCAAATGGTGATTTTCAGAGACAGCAAAGTCCAGATTTCTATAAATGAACAGAAGCATTCCTTAAATACGATGAAGATTGTACAACTCTGCCTGCTGGTGGGGATAAGTTTTTTTGTTTGTTTGTTTTGTTTTTTGAGATAGGGCTTCCCTCTGTCACCTAGGCTGGAGGGCAGTGGTGTGATCATGGCTCACTGCAGCCTCGACCTCCAGGACTCAAGGGATTCTCCCACCTCAGCCTCCCAAGTAGCTGGGACTACAGGCACATGCCGCCATGCCCAGCTAATTCTTGTATTTTTAGTAGAGCCAGGTTTTCACCATGTTGCCCAGGCAGGTCTCGAACTCCTGGGCTCAGTCATCCACCCACCTTAGCCTCCCAAAGTGATGGGATGATTATAGGTGTGAGCCACCACACCTGGCTAGAGAGAAGTTTTAATTTTCCTTCTACTTCCAAACCACAGCCAAAGGCTATAGGAACACAAGAAAGGGGGTATGGGAGCCCCTGGTGTTTCTTCACCTACTGGCTGCACAAAACACCTGGCTGGAGTTCTGAAATGACCACTGCCCTGTGCATGAGGCCTAAATACATCCCTACAACCTGGGATGCCTCACAGAACTCTCCCCAAGCAGGAGGGAGGCAGGGCAAAGGTTTATGATCTTCTTAGCTAAGCAACTGTTGGCTTTTCCAGTTGTTCTAAGGAAACAAAGTTTCAAGCAGCTTCTGCAGATGGACTTTCCAGGATGAATTTCAGCTGCTTTATGTGCACACCCTTTCCATTAGTTAGTAAAAATGACCAAAACACGACTGTTGCAAGACCTTTCTCTCTAAATCTGTGGTTCTCAAGTAGGGGCAATTTTGCACTCTGGGGACATTTGGCAATGTCTGGAGAAATTTTTGCTTGTCACAGTGGAGAGAGGGGAGGGTAGAGAGAGATGCTACAGGCATCTAGTGGCTGGAGGCCAGGGAATGTGGCTAAAAATCCTGCAATGTGCAGGACAGCCTCCAATAACAAAGAATTTTTGGCTTCAAATATCAATAGTGCTGCTGTTGAGAAACCCTGCTCTAAAGACGTGGGAAAAAAATGAGATTTAGGTTCATCTGTGACCAATATTACCAATCATATCATCCTCATGTCACTCCTGAATTTTACTTTAAAAATTCATTAGCTGATCTTCTTACACATCATCCCTAAGAAGTAGATTAAGAGTACTAATGGCATGTACTGAGTTCTTACTATGTGCTAGGTTCTGGAATAAGGACTTTATATACTTTATGTCACTGTTGTCCCTGTTTTCAGAAAAGAAAACTGAGCTCCGAGCAATGAAGGAAGTTGCAACTGGACATAAAACTTAAAATGGCAGAGGGAGGAATCAATGCAGACATGGAGTTCTGAAGCTTTTGCTGTTGCTCTCAATGCATTTCTAAGGAAACCCAACAGTATCCATTTCACTGACCAATTGCTTTGTACCCAAAATTCTATTTTTCGTAAGAACTTTTCATTTTCTGACAAAAACTATTTGTTAAATAAACATAACTTCATAATTGTGATCATTCATCACTTGGAGCAAATTTGACTATTTTAAAACACATGGATTTAAAAAAAATCCACTTTAAATGGTGGTGCCAGGTAAAACTGCAAGGAAGCTTGTGCTATCTGGAGACACCCATACTTTTTTTTTTAAGGAACATTTTGTAACTTTACAACAGCATATTGCATTTTTATATTCATGTGCCTATCTCCTTCATTGTCCTGTGTATTAGTTTTCTACTGCTTTGCATGAAGAATTTAAACAGACCTAACAGCTTAAAACAACACCTATTTATTAGTCCACAGTTCTGAAAGTCAGAAGTCCCAGCACAGCCATGGCATCACTGGGTTCTTGCTCAGGTTCTGTCAAGGCTGAAATCATAGTAATAGGCTCAGTTCTTGTCTGGAAAAGACAAGTTTGAGAAAAAAATCTGCTTTTGAAGCTCATTCGGGTTGTTGGCAGAATTCAGTTCCTTGCAACATTGGCCTAGGCAAATAATTTATGACTAAAACCCCAAAGGAAGTGCAACAAAAACAAGAATAGACAAATGGGCCTTAATTAAACTAAAAAGCTTCTGCACAGTAAAATAAATAATCAACAGAGTAAACAGACAACCTACAGAATGAGAGAAAATATTTGCCAACTACGCATCTGACAAAGGACTAATATCCAGAATCTACAAGGAACTCAAACAACTCAACAAGAAAAAAACAACCCCATTAAAAAGTGGGCAAAGGACATGAATAGGTATTTCTCAAAAAAGACAAACAAGCGGCCAACGAACATATGAAAAAATGCTCAACATCCACTAATCATCAGAGAAATGCACATTAAAACCACAATGAGATACAATCTCACACCAGTCAAAATGGCTATGATTAAAAAGTCAAAAAACAACCGATGTTGACGAGGGTGCAGAGAAAAGGAAACACATACACGTGTTGGTGGGAATGTAAATTCGTGCACAGTGCCTGGTTCAGAAGACACACTTTAAAGAAAAAAGCTGGCTGAATGTTTATAACGTGTCTGTGTTTGTAGTGTTCAAGTCCTGCGGGCGAGGACCCTAGTGCATTTTCTGCAATCCAGTAATGCCTGTCCGGTACATGGCAGCCAGTGAGCACTCAACAGGTGCAATCGTTGGGCCACACACTCTTGTTTTAAAATGTGCTTTATCCTCTTGACCTTTTTAGGTTATGCAATGTGAATTCAAGCTGAATAATACTGAAGCCAGTCTTACGAGGCTTATTTCTAAGAAATATTCAGCTTTATTAACGCAAATAAAAATAATCACACGCCCTTCCTTTGCAAGTGAACATTCATATTAGTGTCTGATAAATGCATTAAGACGACACATTCCTTAAATCAATCGGAGAACAGAACTTTGGTTTCTGCAAAAAGAAAAACTCCCTTTTCCCTAGATTTTCTCAGCTCCTCCAGTGCTAGCCCCAGACAAGGTCCAAGTTATCTGCAGTTCTTTGGCCTCCCTTGCATTTAAATCGCATTTGGGTAAACGCTTCGTGGGCTTTCTAACTCCACAGAAACGCTAACCAGGTATTGGGCGCTCGCACCGCTTCCAGGTAACCAGCGAAGCTGCGGATTCCAGGCTCGCGCTGTGACGTCACCGGGCTCGCAGGCCGCGGCGCGGTCTCAGGCTCCGGTGATTGGCTGGGGTCCATGACGTCACGGCCCGGGGCGGCCCTGCGATGGCCAGGGCCCCGGGATGCTCCGGGTTTGTTTAAAAATAAAGGGGGGCGGGAGCGCCCAGGAAAATCCGGGCGCCCACGGGGGTGCCGGTTGCCCCTCCCGCCGCCCCGCGTCCCGGCCCGGCCGCGCCAACCCCCTCGGCGGCCCGCAAGGGGGCGGGGGGAGGCGGGGCGGAGGAGGAGCCGCGGGCGCGGCGCCGCGCTGTCCCCGGCCGCCGCCCGCCCCACTCCGCACCGCATGTAAACAGTCCCCGCCGGCCCAGCCCGGCCCCGGAGGAGCCCGCGCAGGCCGAGCCGAGCGCCGCGCTGCCCGCCCGGGAGGAGGGCGCCGAGGAGCGGGAGGGCGGGCGGCGGCGGGAGGCGGGCGCGGGGCCGCAATGGATTTCCAGCAGCTGGCCGACGTTGCGGAGAAATGGTGCTCCAACACGCCCTTCGAGCTCATCGCCACCGAGGAGACCGAGCGCAGGATGGATTTCTACGCCGACCCCGGCGTCTCCTTCTATGTGCTGTGTCCGGACAACGGCTGCGGCGACAATTTTGTGAGTGCCTGGGGGAGGGACCGCCGGAGCCGGCGGGAGTGTGGACGCGGCGGTGCATCCCTGCGCCCGGGCTACCGCGCGGTGGGCGGCGGTGGGCGCCTAGTGGGGGGGCGTAACCCGCGTCCTACTCCCCGCATGCTCCTCCGGGGAAGCCCCGGGCCGGGTGGTGCGGCCTCCGCGCCCCGGGTGGGGCCCGGTGGGCGGCGGGCAAGGCTCCCGGAGGATCCGGGGAGCCGGGTCGGGGCGGGAGGTGTGGCGTCCCCCTAAAGGCCACCCCTCTCCCCGCTGTTGCGGGCGCCGTTTCGGGAACCCGACCTGACGGCCAGTGCGCGTTGCCTGGCGTGGAGCATCCCTGGGGTGTGGGTGTCACCCGCGCCCGAGCAGCCTGGGCTGGGGCGCACGGATCCTCCGGCAGAAGCCCAGGTCCAGAGCTTCCCACATCCAGGCGTCCCGTCCAGGTTAGGAATCCCGCACCCCTCCCGTGCCCAGCCTCGGCTCCTCGCCTTGCCCCTCCCGGGAGAACCCCGCTCCCCGCCCTCGCGGGTTAGTCCCTGCACTGCCTGTTTGGACACAAAGCTCTGTCCATACTAGCGATGCCCGATCTCCTGGACCTTCGTTGCGGAATTACACCCCGGATCTTAATACGCACGCGCGCCTGCGCATACACCCCCAACACACACACACTTATGCTCACACACTCACCCTCACACGCGCACACTCACGCACACACGCGGGCACGCCTCTCCCCCTGCCCCCGCGCTGCCCTCGCCGCCTCTCTGAGCTGCCCGAGAGGTGTGTGTTGGCCCGGGCAGGTTCTCTCCAGCTGAGGCGGTGGCCCCAGCCTAGCTGAAGCCTGTCGGCGTTTCCAGATGAGGGGGAATCCCCTCAGCCCCGGCTCAGGGGGACCGGGAACTGGAACTGCGGTGTCCAAACCTTCCACTTTGAATCCTGCGCCCACCTGGGATCCCGGCTCTGGCAGTTGAGGGAGGGGATGCAGAGGGCAGGGGAGTCAGGGTGGGAGGGGCGGAGTAGGGCGAGCACGGTGCTCATGAAGTGTTTGTAAGGATGGGGAATAAATAATGATCCCCAAATGTAAGATGGAGGCGGCCGTGGGCGCGGGTGACCGTGTGGTCACCGGCCTTGTGGGCGGAGGTGGGGCGGTGTGGGGCGCGGCCTGGTGCAGGCTCCTCAGGTGGGGGAGACAAAGCTGGGCCGTGGTCCTGCAGCCGCGCGCCCTGACCACCTATGGGAAGTTCGCGAAGGAGTTGGGGAGACTGCACGACCGCCTTTCTTGGTCCTGGAGAGGTGAAGGCTTGTATATGTCTGGCCAATAAAGCATTGCCTCCGCGCACACGCACCCCCCGAAGAGGGCAGGGATCCACCTGGATATTCCAGAAGTGGCACTCCAGAAAAGGGATGGCCTTGTGTGACAGCCAGATATGAGTTCTGGCTCTGTGACTGTGCTCAAAAATACCCACCCTGAGCTCAGTTTCCACATCCAAAAAAATAGGTATAATAATGCCAGCACCGAGGTGTTCATATAGGTGACTCACTGAACAGTCCCTGACACACAGCAAGAGCCCCACAAATTTGGGGTTAGAGACCTGGGGTTTCCCAGAATTTAGAGCTTGTCTCATTTTTTAAAGAACGTTGGTTTTCCCGCTGTAAAATGGGGCTAATCAGAATGCCTCCAGAAGAACCAACTGAAAAATAATATTAATGCCCGTAAGCCCATCTTAAGAGTAGGTAAAGTAAGTAAATAAGTGTTCTTTTTGCAAGGAGTGGGAGATCATTAAAAAGGGATTCACTCCACCGCAAAAGTGTGAGAAAACCCCCAGGATACAGTGGAAAGGGCACCAGAATCCAGCTGACTGTAAAATGTTAGGGTTTGGCTGGGGTCCCTTCCAGCTCTGGGCTTCCTTCATCTGCCAGCGTCCTTTCTCCCTCCTGACCATGTGAAACAGGACAAGAATGGCTCATGGTTCTGGATTTCACTGGGGAGAAGCCCACACAGCCTTCCTGCTGGGACTGCCCAGGCCATACCCAAAGAAATGACTCCAAAGACAGTAAGTGGGCCAGGAAGACAAAAGGCTGTTCTCTTGTCATGAGTATGTGTATCCAACCATCGTTCAGAAGTAAGAAGTACTATATTATTTGTATCAGGCCTTTCTCTTGAGGCCACCCATATTTTAAATATTTTCCCATCTGCATGAGAAAAATGCTTGAAAGTGCCATGTAAACTGACAATTTAAATAGAATAGATAGAAAGATAGAGGATGGGGGTGGGCAGATGATTCCTTGGGCGGAATGGAACTTTCTCCAAGTTCTGGAGGCTCTAATGGACAAGATGCCAGCCTCAGGAGTTTTCTTAGCCAGACCTCTTGAATCTGTCCCAGGCCAGGTTTGTCAAGCTACTGTTTGCCTCTAATAAGTGTCCTGCCTCAGTTCTTTTCTTTTTCCCAGGAAAATGTATTAAGCATTAGACAAAAATGTGAGATGAGTGGAATTTCTGTTAGTTGAAGGACTTAGCAATAAGAATATCTACGTGAGCGTTTCTCGATTTACAAAAGTTATTTCCACATCATTCATTCATTCATTCAGCAAACATTTATTGAGGGTTTACTTTGTGCCAGGCGAGTGCTATCTTGAATACAAATAGGATCTCTGCCTTCATGTTCCTGGGGCAATTTTTACTTGTCTAGGAAGCAGTGTGGTGTGGTGGTTAAGCACACAGGCTGTAGATCAGATTGTGTGGGTTTGCACCTCAGCTCCCCACATTTGTGTGCCTTGGGGAAGTTATTTAACCCCTCTATGCCATACTTTTTCTTTTTGTTTGTTTTTCTTTTTTTGAGACAGTCTTGCTCTGTCACCCAGGCTGGAGTGTAGTAGCACAATCTCAGCTCACTGCAACCTCCACCTCCCAAGTTCAAGTGATTCTTGTGTCTCAGCCTCCCCAGTAGCTGGGATTAAAGGCATGCACCTCACACCCAGCTAATTTTTCTATTTTTAGTAGAGACAGGGTTTGTTATGTTGCCCAGGCTGGTATCGAACCTCTGGGCTCAAGTGATCCTCCCACGTTGGCCTCCCAAAGTGCTGGGATGATAGGCGTGAGCCACTGCGCCTGGCCTCTATGCCATACTTTCTACATCTGTAAAATTGGGATGATAATATTAGTACCTCCTGAGCAGAGTTGTTTGAGAACAGTGTCTAAAGTAGGGGCAGCTTAGATAGTCTAAGCCACTGTCATTTTTCATCGTATCTCCTAACTTGTCTCCTTGCTTATAACCTCCACCTCACTCTTACTGTAAGTACTGAAGTGGGGGTACTAAATAGATCCAAAATGACTGCATGGGGAGACTGACTCTAAGCCACTCTCTACCCAGCAGTCATGTTGGATCTATTTAAAATATAAGCCAGATCGTGTCACCACTATTCCCCACCTCAGCTGAACTGACTTCCCATCTTTTATAATAAAACCTAAGCTCTTGCCTTGGCCTCAGGCCCCCACATGATCTACCTTCCTGCCACACAGAGCCTTCTAGTCCTTAGACGTGCCAAGTGCATTCCTGCCTCAAGGCCTTGGCTCTTGCATTCTGTCTGCCTAGAACCCTCTTGCCCCAGATCTTTGCACGGCTGGTTCCTCGATACTCCTGAGGCCCAAGAGAAACCTTTCTGACGACATGTTCTTTCACCTCACCCTCTTTTATTCTTCCCATAGCACTCGTTAGACTTGGCATTCTCTTTTTGGTTTTCTGCCTCCCCAACTGGACTCTAAGCTTCATGAGAGCAGAGGCCTTGTCTGTGTTATCACTGTGTTCTGGCATTTGGAACAGCATCCAAACATGATGGGTGCTCAGTACATACCTGTAAGGATGAGTAAATTATAGTCTAGTGTAAAAGACATGTCAAATGTCAAGAATTCAGTTTCAAAGAATAATAATAATAACCGTCACTTATGTTCAGTTTTTTATGTAGCAGACGCTGCTCTCGGCACTTTACATATGCCAACTCATTTAACTTTAGTACTCTCACAAGGCCATCTCTATAATTATCTCTGTTTTACAGAGGAAGAAACTGAGACATGGCAAACTTTACTAACTTTTCCACAGTTAATAAGTGGTAGAGCACCTTGAACTACAGCCCTGTATTGAATGCATGGCATCACAGGAGTGACAACAGGGGACCCCATCTAGACTGGGTTCAAGGGTCGCTTCTTATTGGGCCTCACAAAAATTCGTTGAGGTAGATATTATTATTCCCACTTTATAGGCAAAGAAACTGAGGCTCAGGGAGTTTAAGGGGGTCATCCAGGACTGTACCACTAAGAAGTGACAGAGCAAGGACTTGAGCCCAGAGGCCTGTCCTCTCCACCATGCAGAATGGCCCACAGGTGGGGTCAGGCCAGTAGTTCCAGGGGCACGAGATCAAGGACGCCTGTTTATTTTTCCTCCATTCTGGGTCCCTTGCACA